TCCCCCAACCCCTCATCCCACTGGCATTTTCACTTGTCAGAGACCTTGAGAAACTCGTTCTTACCGCAGTGATGACACGAGGGCGCCAGCCCAGCTCGCTTTGCTGCAGGAGGAACTCAGTGTTGACCCGAATTCTGAGCCCGGGGAACATCTGCGGGCTCCTTGCTGTCTCAGCCGCACACACACCGCCACCGAGGGCAGAGGGCAGGCCGGCCTCCATGGCCAGTCCCTCAGCATCGGTGGCTATAAACACTCACAAACCAACCAGATGGGCTGATCAAGGACAGAGAAAAGGACGCAGAGTCTAGCTCCGTTTGGAAGGCCAATGTGCTATGAATCAGTCTCCTGTTCGCAGCGTCCACACAGACACCCAGCCTCCGGCCCACAGGAAGGCAAGCCTACACCCTTGTCTGACACAAATGCCTTTTGTTCGCGAGCTTTAGCACCCGTCACGCACCAGGTGCAGAGCGTGGCGAGGTAGTGCCACTGGCTCTCCAGCCGTGTTCCGTGGTTCCCGGGCGAGGAGGGAACGGTCCATAGCCTGACGAGCCGTGGAAACACGGGCACCTGGAAGGCCCTTCCGGCCGTGGGCACTCAATACGCTGGTGTCTCCAACAGCCTCCGGAGGCAGGTCGGTGTGGGACCTTTTTGTGTGAGGCTTGTGGGATTCGTGTCCTCTGAATGCGCTTACAAAGCCCTTTTAGACCAGCAAATGGGGATCCGAGGGTAAGACTGTGACACCAGTTCTGATGTTTCCTTCCCGGCCACCGAGCATTTCTGGCACCAGCTGATGTCCCACAACTTAACTTGGTTCTGACTATGCACCTGGACACAGCATCAGACCCCACAGGTTAGGGACTGGGTCCCACAAGACACCCCTCCCCCCCGCCGCCCCCACTGGCAACTTCAGGCTCTGAACACAAGTCCAGGTGTCACCTGACCCACCAGCACAGATGGGAGGTTCCAATGACCCCTCCGCAGGCCAATTAACTTGTCAGAGTGGCTCAGGGAACTCACTCACAGGGATACTTTACTGACTGGATGACCAGTTGATTAAAAAATGTAACTCGGGGGCAGCCAGATGGGAGACCACAGGCACAGAGCAGGGAAAGGGGGTGGGGCCGCCCTGCCATGTCCCCCGTGCTCCCCAGCCTGCTCCCCACTCCCGGCCTTGGGGCCTTTATGAAGCTTCACCACAGAGGCTCTGACCAAACCACTGGTACCCCTCCCGCTCTGAGGTCTGGGGGGAAGTGCCACCCCTCTAATCACAAAGCTGGTTTCCTTGGCAACCGTCTCCCATCCCTCATCCTCGGGCCATGTCCGAAAATCCTTACCATTAACATTAACAAGACGCCTTAGTCACTCTCATCACTTAGGAATTCTGGGCAGGAACAGGGACAAAGACCATATCTATTTCTTATTATAAATTACAACAGCCCAGAGGATGTAGTTGGAAAAAAACTATTTACTACAATGGTATTTTAAAAAACAAAAACCAAACTACAAAGGGCAGAAAGCGAAGCTTGAGGAAACCTCCTCAGCTAGAATTTAACACGAGGACGCATGGCTTAAAGGAGGTTGAGACACCACCTCCGGTAAAGACAAAATATGTATTTATAGTTGGAGAAAATATATGATCAAAGAATTCTGTCCCAAAGATCATGCCTGAGGTTCCACACTAAGAATGTTATGGAAATCATACCCTTTCATCAAATATAATGGTTTATTTTGAAGCGGAATATACTAGTAGACAAGCCAATAATTTAGTTTAACTAGAAATTATAATTACAATTTACTAAATGAAAATGCCATTTTGAAATTATGATTATTCTATAGTTACAGTTTAAGCAGCTTTTTCCTAAACAAGTGTAGTGATTAACTCCTGACGCCTCATTCTGTGATAAAGACATACTTCAGACCATCTTCAAGGAACAAACTCATCCAACGAAGCAGATTATACATTCCATAAAGTGAATTACATTCTCTCATCGAGTGGGCGGAGTCTGTTTCAAATTGGGGGAGGTGGGGCTCTGGCCGCCAGCCCCTCAGCAGGCCCCACGGGGCGCCCGCCGCCTCTGGGCTCCTCGAGCACATTCCCCAGCGGGCGCTGCTGGCCCTCCATCCCCTCAGCCTGGCCAACTGCTACGGCGTCCAGTCCTCCTGCAGGTTTCTCCAAAGGACCACTCCCAGGTTCTGAGCACCCAAGGCCTCTTGTCCCCGACAGACAGGAAATGGGTTCCCCACACGGGGCCTCTCTGCAGCTTAAAGAAGTGAAACTTACTCGCATTGTTGCTATAGAATAAACGTAAAGATCTGCCCTTGGAAAACCACTAACTTGCAATTTCAGGGCCCTGACAGAGGATAAGAATGGTAAGTACAGCACTCCTACTACTACGTTTGAAAATGCCAGTTAGGTTTTGTAAGATGTAGGACCTGTAACGCCTACACCGTGAGAGTGACAGGTGACACCCGAATGAAACGGGCAGTCTTCCCGGAAGTCCTAGGGTTCACAGGATGCTTCGGGGTTCCCGTCACAATAAGCCTCCGTGGCAGGGACAAGAGATGCCACAACCAAACACAAGGCAGGACGGTGAACGGACGAGAACGGAGGAGCACCACTGGTCTGATGGGCGGGCCAACTCGTGGAGGTCAGGTCCGCAAGTCCTAAGGGGTGAACGAGGAACAGGGACCCCTCTCCCCCAGTTCTAGAGCCGGGGAAAATCCATCCTCATCTCTCGGGACTGAACTCTTGAAAGTTTCCAGAGTGATGGAGGCAACAGCAGGGATGGGGCGGGGTGTCCCATGTCCATGAACGGGGGAGGCGGTCCCTGGGCGGGTCTGAGGCTCCTCCGAGCTCCCAGGGTCGCAGGGGTAGCTCCAGACCTTCTCCTTCCCCGGCCCCAGCCCGGGCAGCACAGTCGAGTGTGGGTTCTGAGTGTCCTCAGGGGGGAATGCTGGGATTTGGCTGAAATGCAAGTTGCATCCATGGCGCTTGGCAATGATGTCAGGGTTGAGTGCGGGGCTGCGTATTCTCTTTCCGTTTTTGGTAGGATGCTAAACCTATGGCTTCATGAACTACTTCTCAGAGGAATGATGCGGTGGGGGCAGCGAGGAGGCTGAGCGGGCCACTCTTCAGTAGTACACAGCCTGCAGAGGAGAAAGAGACCAGGTTACCCGGCCAGCCCTGGAGCGGGAGCTGAGGATGCCACCTCCAAACGCGTTCCATCCAAGGCCGCGTATCCCTCAGGGTCTACGTGCGGTGTGAACTGGGTCAAGATTATGCTCTTCCCCCAACACCTGTAACCAAGCAGGTGGTGCCGCCGGCGGCATCCTGTTCCAGGCCAGTGGGACAGCCCTGGCCTAGAGACGGGAGTTGAAAATGCTTATTTACTGTCCTCGCATTGCGAGCAGCCGCTACATGAAATCGGAGAACTGCTGACAGCTGCAGTACCACTAAAGCTTCACCATGGGCGGGAGCGTGGCTCGTAAAAGCGTCATCCCCATACAGAAAGGTTGAGGGCTTGCTCCTGGTCAGGGCACATACAAGAAATCAACCAATGAACGCATAAGTAGGTGGAATAACAAACGATGTTTCTCTCTCTCTCTCTCCCTTTAAAAATTAATTTAAAACACGACTAAAATTCCACAGTCCTACTAACTCCAAGCCATACTGCGAGGCTGAAGAAGCGCTGCCACACACCTTAGAGTTCAACTGTCATATTTAATTTTCAGAGGCCGAGTGACACTTACCAACTAGCCTTTTACCTCTGACCCTTCCACGCCCTCCGCAACGCTCCCCGCAGCTCAGACTGCACTTCACTGGGGCTCTGTGCACTTGTACGCGTGTGTTCCAATGTCTACAGGAACTGCCCGAGGCTCTGAAAGGCTCTTTGGAGATAAGCACTCACGCTGTCCGTTTCCCATTTACTGATAAGTGTTTCTGACCCACCCTGGCCTGCTCTGAAAGGCTCTTTGGAGATAAGCACTCACGCTGTTCGTTTCCCATTTAAGTGTTTCTGACCCACCCTGGCCACACGGCTCAGGTGGTTGGAGCACCGTCCTGACTCCAAATGTTGCGGGTTCGATCCCGGTTGGTGTGTGTGTGAGGCAACCAAATGATGTTTCTTTCTCACTCTGAAAGGCTCTTTGGAGATAAGCACTCACGCTGTTCGTTTCCCATTTAAGTGTTTCTGACCCACCCTGGCCACACGGCTCAGGTGGTTGGAGCACCGTCCTGACTCCAAATGTTGCGGGTTCGATCCCGGTCGGTGTGTGTGTGAGGCAACCAAATGATGTTTCTCTCTCACATTGATGTTTCTGTCTCTGCCTCCCTCTCTCTCTCAAATCAGTAAAAACATATCCTTGGGAGAGGATTTTTAAAGAAGTGTTTTAAATCCACCCTAATTCTAGCAAAATGAATACAATCACATCCACACATAATTATAATAAAGATTCCTCAAGTAAATGACCAATATAGGCTCGGTCATTTATTTACAATAAAAGGTGATTTAAAAAAAAAATGGATACAAGCTCAGAGAGAATAGCAGAGAAGCAGCTAAGAGGAAAAGAAAACCAAATCTTTCCACAGTCTCACTGAATTCAACCAACCTGAACAGCGAACACACCAGCTCACAGGACTGAGAGCTGAGAGGTGGAGCTGGAAGGGCCTGGGAAGCCTGATGCCTGCCCCTGCCCACAGGTGAGGATGCTGAGGCCCAAGGAAAGGCCTTGCCAATGTCATAATTAGGTTGATCTCAAAGCCAGGAATCAAAGCCACATTATATATATATAGATTGATTTCAGAGAAGAAGGGAGGGGAGAGAGAGAGAAACATCAATGATGAGAGAGAATCATTGGTCGGCTGCCTCCTACACACACTCTGCTGGGGACTGTGCCCTGACCGGGAATTGAACTGTGACCTCGGGTTCATAGGTTGATGCTCAAGCACGGAGCCAGGCCGCCGGGCGCAGCTCCGCACTGTTACACGGGGCTGCTTCTCCAGACCCTAATGCGGGGCCTTCCTGAGAGTACGGCAGGCCCGAGAGCAGTCAGCGGGGCCTCCAAACTGCCATGAGGCTAAGAAGTCCCAGCCCGGCCCAGGAGCTGCGCTGAGAGGGGAAGAAAGCCGCACCAGGCTGCTGCCGGCAAAGAGCTGCTCCCGGCGCGCGGGGCCGCAGGAAGGCGAAGAATGGAAAGCCCTGAGCTGCACACACCGGCTGCTGCCATGAATCCTAAAGTCACATTTTAAAACCAAAACAACTCAAAACAAAACTAAAAGTGACTGAGAGATTCTTAGAAGATTCTCAAATTATGAAACAAAGCATTCGGTGTCTAAAGCGACTGCAGGTCTACACTGGCTGGCGGTCCGGTTCCGGAGCGTGGAGGGATGGGGAGAGGAAGGGGCAGTGAGTGCCTGTCCTTCTGTAAAACTGATGCACCTTCATCCAGACCCAGCTAACCATCACCTCTACACTTTTTAAAATATATTTTATTGATTCTTTACAGAGAGGAAGGGAGAGAGATAGAGAGTTAGAAACATCGATGAGAGAGAAACATCCATCAGCTGCCTCCTGCACACCTCCTACTGGGGATGTGCCCACAACCAAGGTACATGCCCTTGACCGGAATCGAACCTGGGACCTTTCAGTCCGCAGGCCGACGCTCTATCCACTGAGCCAAACCGGTTACGGCACCTCTACACTTTTTAAGATTCTAGCGACCCACCCTCACTCACCCTTTTGAAATGTGGAAAAGTTAAGTTTTAACATCTGACACTCGGGCCAAAGTCCAAATTGAAGGCAAATGAACACTGTTTCTTCCACAGCCCCAAGCCCGCTGCATAGAGAGAAGAAGTCCTACCTCACTCCCACAGACAGCTGGTTTCTGACACGTCCGCTCACACGGCTCCCTGGGCCGCCAGGAGGCCCAGCGGGGCCTCTCTCCTCAGCACAGCCCGGTGTTTCTGAGAAAACCCAAATGACCTCACATGCAACTGGATCTCCGATTCCACCCAAGCCCTGCTGCTTTGAAACAGGACAGACACACACACACGCTATTCCCACGGCACGCTCGAGCTCCGCCGCTCCCCCAGCCTGCTCCTCACAGATGAGTCCCTTCAGTGGCAGCCTCAGAACCACTGCCTGCCCTCCCACCCCAGCTCGCACCGGCTCGCCCCTCAAGGACACAAACTGCCTTGGAGGCGGCGGTCGGGGCCTCTCAGCAAGCCCGTGTCTCTGTCGCTGTCACCAAGAGAATCGTATGGGAGTCAAATCTGGAGGAAAAGCACCCAGACCTCCCTCAGTGGTCGCTTCACCACCAGAGCTCCTCCTCCCTCTCAGGCACATTCACCAACAAAACTGAAACCGAGGCACCAGGAGCAAAGCACCAGAGGGTTGGGTGGCTCAGAACTCGGCCAGGCGGTCCTCGTGGTGTGAAGTCTGAGACCAGAGGTCGGCGACTGTGCCGCAGGCCGTGGGCTCTGTGGCCTCGAGTCTCAGCACAACAGCAGCCAGAGGCCAAGCCAGCGAGGGCGTGGCTGTGCCCCCACCTTTTTGCAAAAATAGGAGGCTGGCCAGCAGGCTGTGCTGGCCCACCGCCTTCATCTGAGCCAGAGTTCATGAAAAGATCCCAGGAGCCCCCCAGGCAACAGGAACGCAGCTGGCGGCCACCCAGGCAGGACCTGACGCCGGCACGCGCCGCGGGACTTACCTTGACCAGCACGGCGGCCACAATGCCCAGGACGGCGAGGAGCAGGAGACCGAGTTTTCCTTTGCTGAATCGTTTCAAAATGAAGAATTTTGCCCAATCCACCTTTGACTGGCTGTTGGGGGGATATCTGAGTTTGTTAGCACTTTCTCTCTTTAAACTTTTCAATAAACAGGGACGCTGGTGAGAAAAAGTATCGAAACTATGTTTTCCGTGATAAGCTCCCATCCCACTGGAACCTGAAAGACAGGGACAGACACCGCGGTTGTGCTGCAGGCGGCACTGCTGCCTCGGACCGGCTCCACCTCTGGGCCGGCGCCAGGGGCTCCTCTCAGGACACTCTTCCCAGCGACCCCACCAGGCGGGCCTCCCTGTAAAACAGGACGCTCCCCAAGAGGAGGGCAGGTGGGCAGCTCCCCGGCAGGGCTCTCAGGACGCCAGGGACAGTGCTGTGCGGCCTCTGACCTCACTCACCACCCCCCACAGTGCTAAGTGTCATCACCCCAAGTCCAGAGGGGAGGGAGCCCGCAGGGGCGGGTACTGCCCGAGGTGAAAACGCAAAGCCAGGATGGAGCCCAGACCAGCCACATGGCTCCACTCCATAGCCCTACGCACCCACCGGCTGCCTCCAAGCTCCCAGAAAGCACCCAAGACCAGGACGACAGGTGACACCGCTGGGTGGTGACAGGCAAGTGTCAGTCTCTGCCTCTCAAAAGCCATGCTCTCGGCCAGTTTTCATGTCTCAAATCTACTGTGTGTGCTGGACAGACACGTGTACGGCACCGTGGCACAGGCCATCACGTGTATGGGACCATGGCACAGGCCATCACGTGTGCGGGACCATGGCACAGGCCATCACGTGTGCGGGACCATGGCACAGGCCATCACGTGTGCGGGACCATGGCACAGGCCATCACGTGTGCGGGACCATGGCACAGGCCATCACGTGTGCGGGACCATGGCACAGGCCATCACGTGTGCGGGACCATGGCACAGGCCATCACGTGTGCGGGACCATGGCACAGGCCATCACGTGTGCGGGACCATGGCACAGGCCATCACGTGTGCGGGACCATGGCACAGGCCATCACGTGTACGGGACCATGGCACAGGCCATCACGTGTACGGGACCATGGCACAGGCCATCACGTGTACGGGACCATGGCACAGGCCATCACGTGTACGGGACCATGGCACAGGCCATCACGTGTACGGGACCATGGCACAGGCCATCACGTGTACGGGACCATGGCACAGGCCATCACGTGTACGGGACCATGGCACAGGCCATCACGTGTACGGGACCATGGCACAGGCCATCACGTGTACGGGACCGTGGCACAGGCTATCACGTGTACGGGACTGTGGTGCAGCCCGGACACCCAGGGCCGGCAGGCAGTTCACTGGTCCATCACTTAGATGGCAGCTGAAGCGGCAGGGAAATCTGGCAACATGGATCAAAAGGTCAGCATTTTGAAAAGAACTTGAAAGACATCAGCAGAGGCTATCTCTAGCCAGTGGGTTATGGGTAATCTGAGTTTGTTTCTTTGGGCTCCTCTATCTTTCCCGAGTTTTCTTACTAAGCCATTTGGGGGGAAGGTTTGTTTTGTTACAAAGAGCATCTGGTCAATGGTGCCAAGTGTACCCAGTCAGACAGGACTGAGCCCGTCACTGGATCAGCACTTAGCGGCCCTGTGGCCTCGCAGGGCGCCACGGGATCCTGCGGGCACGGAGGACCAGACACAACGGAGTCTCCTCTAATCCTTGAAGGATGTGGGCAGTGAGACCACATAACTACAGCCCAAATCTCACTAACCATCCTTTCCTTCATTCACCACCTCCCTCCACACCCAAACACTCCAATCCATCAGCAAATCATGTTGCTCGACCCCCAAGAGATCCCTCCCTCCTTAAATAAAAAGTTGAGTCAGTCCTCCCAGGTGTGAAAGAGGCAGGTAGGTCACAGCCCAGAGGGAGCCACAGGCTGTGCCCCAGAGCACCACCGAGGTGAGTGCCCGGGGGACAGCTCAGGGCGAGCAGCCTGGCACTGTGCTCCTGGCACTGTCCCCTGCCACTCACTACCTCCCTAACCAAGATGGAGGGACCTGACTGCTGGCTCCAAAATCCCCTAAATGTGGGAGAAGGACAATCAACATGTAAAGCAACAAAAGGAACAAAATAATTGGAGGCCGTGGCAGGTGCTACTCAGGATGAAAGGTGGTGGCAGGACAGAGAGGAACCCCAGCAGAGGGCCGGAGGGAGCAGGAAGAGGACTTGCCACCAGCAGAGGGCCCGGAGGGAGCAGGAAGAGGACCTGGCACCGGGCGCCGGGAGGCCGCTGGGAGAGGACCACCCGCGGAAAGCGTGG